ATTTAATATTATAAATTTTACATGAATAAAAAAATTATTTATTTAAATGATATATTAGATTATATTAAAAGATAGTAAAAAAAAAATTGTTCCAAAATAATTTTCTCTTTCAACTTCTGCTAGGTTCGCGAACCTAGGAACCTAGTAGCCGGTGGGTTCTTCCAAGTTGGGTTCGAGAACCCAGTGGCTGGTGGGTTCACGAACCCAGCAGATCGGGTTCGAGAACCCAACGAAGAAAACGACATTGTTCTGGACCAAGGCCTACTGGGCGAGGGAGCGGTCGACGACGAAGATGGTAGGGCGAGAACTGATCTTGAGGATGATCATTAGGCCGAACTTTGCATGGAGTTTGCGGAGAATCAGTTCCATCTCGGAGGTGGATGTGAGTTTGAGGAGCCATAGGAAGGGGTCGACAATGGGGATGGTGAAGGGGCCTGGAGGGAGAGAGTGGGTGGGGGATTTGGTCGAAAAAAGGAGGTTGAGGAGTGCTCTAAGGAGAAGAGTAACGGAGACAATGATGAGGATGATGCTGGCAGATTGTGATTGGACTCTCTTGCACAAAATTGTGTTTTTGATTCTTGATTTTTGTTCCAATAAGTCAACGCTAGAAAATGCCAAGATGTTGATTCAATTTTGGAACCATGAAATTTGCAATTTTCGTGTTTTTAATTAGGTGAAGATTTTCATAAAAAAAAAAAAAAAACCAGCTCGGTTCCTGGGTTTACTGCATTCAAGAACCCAGTGGAAGTTGAAGGGGAAGAAGAAAGGGAAGAGGAAAGAGAAAGGGAAAGGAGAAAGAGAGGGAAAAAAAAACTAGGGGGACAGGCATTAACAACGTGACGGACATTAACGATGTTTGTAGAAGATTTGACAAAAGTTAATTTTCCGTCCAATTGGGACCTTATTTGAGAATTTTGTAGAGTTTGAGACCTTAATTGAGTGCAATTGAAGTTCGGGTCTAAAATTGCAAATTTTGTATAAGTTCGTGTCCTTATGTGACATTTTTTCCGAGAGAAAACTATAAAAAGTTAATTATTATTTTATTTGAAGAAGAAAAGTAAAAATTAAGAAATTTTAACATTTAAAATATTATATTTTTATAAAATTATTTAAATATTTTTAGTAAATCTTTCTTATATATTGATTTATTAAGAGTGCTTAAATAATTTCATAAAAAATTATGACATTTTAATTGTTAGACTATCTTAATTTTTTACAATTTATTTTTATTTTATAAAATGCAATTAACCATGAGAACCATTGAGAAGTAATTAACGCCAAGAAAACCATATGAAACAAATACAGGCTAAGGTTGTGCCATTGCTTGGAATATTTGGACGGACAGAAACTGTTTACATATGTTTCCTGCAAACCTCCAACTTGCAGACTATCCCGTTCAAATCGCCTGGCTTAACAGCTGAACTATGGGCTACTCGCAATCTTAGCTCATGGGCTTTCTGCCCTTTTTACCTCTCTGTTAAATGGCTTCGTCCTCCACAAGGTTGGGTTAAGCTCAAACATTGATGGCTCCTCCACTGTTAATCCGTTAGGCTGGTGCTTGAGGGTTCATCCGAGATCAAGATGGGAATTGGATTGCGGGTTTTGCGAAAAATTTTGGGCTATGGTTTTAATAATGACTCTGAATTTTGGGGCTAACAATTGGGCTTGAACTTGTTCTTACCACAGGATTCAAGCATGCTAGAAATTGAAACTGACTCAGTTGCCGTAAACATTTTGAAAGAAATTTTTGCCGCTGCCAAAACTCATAAAGCATCAATTGCTTCATGCAAAATTGTTGATGGATGTTTAAAGAGGTGACTATCATGCAAATCTGCCGCTAAACAAATGGTGTGGCCTACATATTTATCAAGCATGATGCATCTATGGAGGAACATTTTGTTCTTTTTAAAGGACAAATAATTTTAGTTTTTAAACTTATAAATTTAAGAACTAAAAATATTTCAATAAATTATCAAACTAATAAAAAAATTTAAAAAAAGTATATTTTTCACGAATAGTTTAGAGATGAAAAGAGTGTAAAAAATGATTTATAAACTAAAAATATTCAAATTAAAAGTTTAGTGACTAAAAATAACATTTAACGTTAGAAATATTTATTCAAATATGATGTTTTTAAAGTTTTAAATTTTTTATAAAAATCAAGATTAATTAGTATGCACTACTTTCATTTAATAAATGTGACAATTAAATTTAATGTCTTTAATGTCAGAGGTTAATATTTATCAAAA